AAGTAGGAAATGCCTCCAAACTTCTCTTCAAAAATATGAGAGCTAACTCAGAACAAATATAATCCAAGATAGCAGAACAGCAGTCTAGCACTTTAAAAGCATTTTCAGACACTGAAGAATTACTTACTAAAGATTGTTTGCAAACAGAAGTCTATGCAGGTTGAAGTTCTTTAAATAGCATAACGTAGCTGCTTCTGCACACTTGTGACTTCTCTAGAGGACAGGAAGATAGTTACACATCTAGAAATTTACAGAAACCACCCCACCTACTCAAACTGTGCCAAATCTCAATCACTGTTCTGAAGATGTTACATTAAAACATTTCTAAGACAGTACTCGCCTTCTATCATTCATGTCTCTATTTTGACCTACACATATGTACATTCTCGGGTGCCTTCAAGAGCAGATGGAAGAAATTGCCCTCTTCCTGTTTTACTTACAGAAGCTGTTTGTTGACAGTGGGATACCCAATGGATTTAATCCCACATTATTACTTTAAAATATGTTTCTCAATTATCTGTGTGCCTTTTTGATACAAGTTTAATGAATTACTCTTCTATTTACAGTGTTTGATTCTAAAATACACACCCTGCAACAATTTGTTTTACTCTTTAGGTACTAGTAAAAAAAAAGAAATTGGGGTAATTTCTCTAGGCATTTTCATCATTTGTTTTTCAAAAAACTGCAAGCAATGTTCTAGAGGTGTGGGGAAAAAAATGAAAGCATTTAAGTAGATACTTCAGAATGCAGTGCAAAAACATCTGAGATACAAAGCTCACAGTTGCTGGAGTCTTGGTCATTACCACTCTAAGCAAATAGTTACTAGGTTAAGTACCATAAAAACAAAGCCTACAGTATGAGTAGATTGTATTTTGTCATTACTTGGTTACAAGTACACTTATTCTTGGTTTTCAAATACACTTGAAAGATATCTGGCAATCTGAATCAATAATATCATTACACTAGCACAAGGCCATTCTAGACTAGAGCAATATTTCTCTGCCTGGATGTGAGAAATTCTCACACCCACCCTGAACTCCCATATTCCCTAACCTCCATTGTTCAGGAAGTCTCTTGACCTCCAGAAGAGTGTTTCAGAGGAGTGCAGAAGATGGACAGAAAGATATGTGACACTAGCAATTTTCCACTCAAACTACCAATGAATGTGACCAAGCCATTACAATTTTACTAGACATTTCCTCCTTAAAATATATTAGTGTTTGTATCCCATCAAGGTTATATGGTCTAACACATTTCAATATGTATTTCTTTTGTTAGGTCTATGACCATACAATAAAGATTAATTAATTGATTGAATAAATATTTCTCCTCATACATTAGACATAAAAATGCCAAGATTGGTTCTTGAGTTTTGTGTACTACTATTTTACTGCTGCTTTGAGGTCCCTGTTACATGCTTCTCACTAGCTTCTACAACATTTAAAGTATCCTGTTCATGGATCACCTATATGGAGGGCAGGCCAGTGAAAAAAAAATACTAAAGCAGTATTTCTGTCCAAACTCCTAAAATCAGATTCCCAAGTTAGACTCACCCTCTTCCAAAGCACAGCAGTCTAGATAGGGATGCCATGTATGAGCAGCTGCTGACATTTACAAGCCCCACATTGTCTGGATAGCACATACAGTAACTAGGTGTCCCAACTGTTGGTAGTCCCTACATACATAAAACTGGTCTCTCACCCAGGCTCCTTTGTAAACATATGGAACCAAAATGTGATGCAGGGCAGTATTAGAAGCATGGCTGCACTCCTACCTCACACTAGAACTACCTGACAAACAAACAAAAAATAATAATGTGTAACTAAGGCTATAGCTTTATTCATATCACCTGCTTCTGTTTACCATATAAATATGCATGTGGACAGCACACTTAGGAATTTTGTCATCATACTCTTCTCTGTTACCAACCCCATACTCGTTTAGCTCCTTGCTGCAAAAAACAAAGGCAAACTTAATTCACCTTTAAGAAAACAGGAAAACACACTCAAATTTCCTTGATGAGCCCTCATAGTCAACATGTGAGAAAACAACATAAAAATGGAAAAGATGTCTAATTATAAATCCATAATATGTGGCTACAAAATAGTTTAATTTTTCCTAGACTAATTTTAAAACAGGAAATGATTTAGGAGACGGTTGAAGACCACCCACCCCATCTTTTCAGACAAACCAGTTGTCCCAAAACACTGCAATACCTATACACACAGAATCCCCAAGGAATACAAGGAACACTGCAAGCAGCAGGTTGCTGGATATAAATATGCTGTAAGCTATGCAAAGCAATGTGCAATGATAAAAGTAAGGTAACTGTAGTGCAGGTCTGGCATCACTTTTCTTCTTCAATACAATGAATAACAACTACTCAAGGAAACAGTGATTATTCCAACACAATACTGCCCAAACTTGGAATAAAAAGTAAAATTATTCTTTGAAAATAAAATCTACAATGGTGGACTCACTTTTTTAAAGTAAGCTAGTATAAGAAAAATAAGCATACACTTTTTCCATAGTTATTTCTAAAGGCTGTTATTTTAAACTACGTACAACAGATGTAAACAATCTCCCCAGAAGTGATTTTGCCTCTTCTTCATCCCCTTTAAAAATGTTAAACATTCCAATTGATGCAGCAAACTTGGCCATGAGTTAATACAATCAGTCAATCCAACTGGTAGGTCCCAGGTCAAAGTCTTCAGGTGGTACCAGCTTCAGAAAAGAAGGTGCTCACAGCACCTTTAAATCAAATCCAAAGTGAAATTTCGAATGACATCTGGTGCTCCTGCATCAAAGCCACATATATCTAACATGCCCCTGTCATCTGGGTCTGCAATGGTAAAGCTGCTGGATGTCATTCCACAAACTATAAGTTTGGATGGAATACCCATTTTCTAAAGGCAAAGAGAAAGAGAGGGAAAGGGAAAGGGAGAGATAAAGAAATGTGTGGTTTTTTTTCTAGTGTAATCACAATATTAATTACATCATGTCAAGTCAAGTTTGATTTATTGTAACCCTTTTGAGTTAGAGAATACTCAGAAAAAGTTTACCATTTTCTTCTTATATTGTCACACAATTTGTGAACAAACAATAGAACCCAAATCTTGCAGTCTTTATTGGGAGAAGTACAAGGATCTGGGTATTGCTTGGTCTTCTGTCCCCAACCATGGAGGACACTAACTTGGATCAGCAATTTTGCTTTAAATAAATACAGGCCAAATCAGGATTGTACACGTCACAAAACAAACTTCATAAAGTTATGTGTGAAGAACTGTTTCCAGTCTGTGGCCCCCTTCAAATGTGTCAGGGCCATATGGCCCCCACTGAAAATGGCTGCTTTAGAGCAATATACAGGATTGCATCCGCACTAGCTATGTCCAGATATCTGACATAGAAGTTAGGCCCTAAACTGAGGGGAAATGCCCTGGCTTTCATGTTGTCATTATCTCTGTTCCATGCAAAGTAATCCTTTTCCTTTCATTGGCCTCCATGCACTGGGAGAGACTTTTATTGAGCACTGATATAACCTGACATCTTTATTGCTGATTTCACAACTACTTGAGTTGTTTAACCACAACTACTTAAAATTAAAATATAGATACAGATACATACACCTGCACAATGTTTACTTAAAAACAGTGCTAACAAGATGAAAATACAAATATGAATATTGGGTTAAAAACAAAAGTGCACACAAATGAAAAATATAAACAATTTCAAAAAAAAATTAAGTCTTTATAATTAACAATATGCCTTTAAAAATTCTCCTCAGACTTTGGGCAGCCGCTTCAAATCTTGCTGCTCTATCTGTTACAACATTATTAAAATCAGACAACAAACATGATTTTATTTGAGTCACTTTTATCCAGAATAGCAAATTTGAAATGCATATTGCTCTCAGTTGAAATATAGAGAAACATATCCTTGACCAAAAAACAGAACACTCCTCTCCAGGCTGGTTATCCTCTTCCATCAAGCATACAGCTTTAGGAAGGACACACGTGAAGTAATGAGAGAGGGAGGAGATAGCCGCCTGGATAGCCAAATCACTCAAATCAACCCTAGCAATCCATGGAGTAACATGTTGCGAACAGATCAGTCTCATGTCTAGAATATAAAGACTTTTATGGTAAATAATGTTGTAAATCGTCCACTACGTCAGCTCTGCATATGTAAAGATACTGCAGTATTGAGGTTTCTATGAACCATCGTGGCATGCATTGTAACATTCATGGATCATGGATACACTCCAAGAATATGTCTAGATGAACTGGATTGTATAGTAAAAAAAAGTTAATTTGTATTTGGACTTTTTATGAAGCATGTACAACCATTAGTACTGCAGTGACTACCACCCCACATACCGTATTTTTCCGTGTATAACTTTTCTAACCCAAAATTAAGAAATCGAAGTGGGGCTTAGCAAGTGTAGGGGCAAAGCGATCAAAGTGCTGCAGGATTGCTTTGATCTCTGCTTTCTCCCTTCGTGCTAAGCCCCGTGGGACTTACCAAAAGGAAGGGGAAAGGAATCAAAGCAATCCCGCAAATGCACAATCATTTTGATCCCTTTCTCCCTTATACAGCCACAGGATTGCTTTGATTCTATCCCCCCTCCTTTTGTTAAGCTCCATGGGAGGGGAAAGCAGGAATCAAAGCAATCCTGCAGGGCTTTGATCCCTGCTTTCCCCTCCACTTGCTAATCCTTAGCAAAAGGAAAGCAGGGATCAAAGCCCTGCAGGAACAATATGATCCCTGCTTTCCCCTCCACTTTTTTTTGTACTCTCCTCAGCTTACTTCTGTATATAAGACAACCCTCAATTTTTAGTCTAAAATTTTTCCATCTTATACATGGAAAAATACAGTAACCATTTCTAAGGATTTTTATTCTTCCTGAAATATAATGTCCCTATGTGGAAAGCTGGAAACCATTTAAAAATCAAATATTGGGGGGTGGTGTTTAATTATAGCATTACATCAAGACCATGTACCTTCCTGTACTGCCTCAAGGCTGTGGCAGGATGAATTTCTCCAGCGACTGTCTCATTATCCGTGAATACAATAAAAACATCAACTGCTACACCTGCCTTTTCAGCCCATAACAGTGGAAAAGAACAATCGGTGGCACCCATTGGAATCTAGGATTTAAAAAAGATATACATATATATATTAAATAGAACAAGTCTACACATTCCATCACTGAGGGAAAAAAATGACATGCCAGTCATCCTTCCAGAACAAGTGTGATTTTAAGTGAGAGACAGCAATGTGAAAATAAACAGAAGTCTAAAATACATTACAACAATATTTCCTTGAGTGCATCACATTATATCGCATAAACAACTGCTTTCAAATTGGATGTCAAAATATTTTTATCTATCTAGCCTGGCACTGTCTACTCTCCTTGGCAACACCTCTGCACAGCCTCAGGCAGAGGCCTTCTGTAACACCAAGCACCTTAGTCTTTTCAATGAAAATACCACAGACTAACTTCATAGCAAGGCAATTTACAAAATAACCATAGAATTGCAGAAAACCTTGCTCCTAAAAGTGAGTAGATTTTTTTCCTCTCAGCTCAATGTTGACAGTGGCCTCCCTACAGCCTTACAAGGGCTGCATAGCAAATCCAAACCAGACAGGGCCAGTTTCAGCGGGAACATCACATATACAGGTCATCCACGAGCAACATGGAGGGAAGACAGGAAAACAAAAGCAAAAAAAGATGTCATAGCACCTTAAAGACTAACACAGCAGTTAGTTTTTAAGAAAGAGATTCGCACACAGAGTGTATGCTAAATTGTCATGGGAAAAGCCACCAATTGAGGCTTTTCATCCCAATGGACTTTGGTTATCCATGCCTCTCTTTTCCTTCCCCTTCCTTTTCCCAGAAATGTATATTTCAGGACAGAATCCTGTAGAGATTGTGCACTGCAAACTGACAATCATGTAAGCAGTGTGTGTGATCTTATCTGCTGCCTATCATGTGCTTAGGGATTGAGAGTTATGCCTGACTGCTGGATAAATGTGAAAATCACTTGTGCAGTTCACCTCACATGCATGGTACTTCACAATAAGAATTTGGCCAGAGAGATTAAGAAAAATGGTTTAGGTACCTCAGCCATTTTCTGTAACACTTGAGGTAAAGTCATGTCCTCAGTCACTGGACAAGGAATCATTTCATGAGAAAAGGCAACAATATGGGAATCTTTTTCAGTACGTGCAACAACCTAAAAAAGTTACGCAAAAAAGAACATAGTTATTAGATTATTTCCATTTCCCCCCTCTTTCTTGCACTACTGTTCCCCTTTTATTGCTGCTGAAGTTTGAGGAGGAAATGCCTAATCAAATGCAAAAGCACCAAGCCTGGCACATGGGAGAAGAGAGAAAATAGTGGAAGACTGACATGAATGAAATGGAACAAGGAAGAATAAAACAAGCACTGTCCTCACCACTCACCGAAGCATTTATGTTCTAGCAACCCGAGTTCAGAACATGCATGCAGTTTTTGAAGCAGTGGCTGTTAGTCTGTGCAAGCATATCAGACAAGAAAAACAAAACAAAAATAACGAAGACAAAAACTTTGTGGCAACTTAAGAACTAGCTGCTATATTTTAATATGAGTTTAAAATATAGCAGTTAATCTTTAAGGTGCCACATTTTTGTCATCTTGATTTTATTTTGTTCCCTGTCAGAACATACATGTAAACCTTAAACATGTGGGGATACAAGGGGGACTTTCGCCTGTCACTGTATTTTGAAAAACTTTGATAGATTCTTCCTTGAAAACATAAAATTATCTACACAAAGGGTTCTATTTTGACATAATACAATGAAAACATTTCTCAGAGCTTTTGCTTTAAATTTTGTATTTTCCAAATCTCTTTTTATCTGCCAAAGACATCTTTTTATAAACTAACAGGTAAGACCTTCTAAAGTGACACAATTTCCTCCCTCGCTTCACCACCACCACCATAATTTTCAAGTTTGACTTGATCAGGCCTTAAGGCAGAGTGCATGTTTAGGCATGAAATGGCACCTCTGTATTCATGTGGGCCCAAGGAATCTGGTAAGCCAGGGACCTCTCTTACCATACACATTGCTGCAGCAACTGTGCTAGCACTCAGCACACTGCCCAAAACCTTTTGGAACATAGAATCACTGACATCAACTGCAAGCAGGAAACGCTTTTCTGTTGGCTCCACTGTCTAAAGAAAGAAAGGAGGGGAAAGTCAGCAAACTTAATGTTTTGTTTTTTAATTACCACTGATTTTATGATACAAAAGTGCTTGCAAAATTAAGAGTGCTAATTAATGAATTTGCTGACATGTAAAAGCAGAACAAAATACTCAATGCAGAACAAACATTCCAAATATATGCTATATTCTTTGTGAGCCATCTCTCTCTTAACTAAATAAACAGCCTTATAGAACTAATTACAGAAGGAGATGGCCTCAGCAGCATAATCAACAAAACAGCTCTCACTGGTTCTGAGACTAGAGATGAAATGAAGCAGCAAACTTGGCTGAGGAGATAGGAATGCTATTGTATCAGGACACAGCCTTTATTTTCAAAGTTCTTGCAAAATGTAAATATCCTGTCTTTCAGACTTTGCTATCAAAGTCCAATATATATTTAAATAAAGATTGGGAATATTTTAAAAGAACTTTGAATGAAGATTCTGCTAAAATTAGTGTAAATTTCTTAACTTGCACATTCACAGCACTTACCTTAAAGGTCTTGTAAAATGAAGCATCAAGAGCATCCAAAATATCCTTGTCGGGTTGCCAACGAAGTTTTCTTTGGTAACTACGTTCTCCTTTGTAGGTTTCCAGTGCTGCCAAAATATGGAAAGGATGTATTCGAGCCTAAAAAGAGAATATAAAATATACTTTTGCTAATATATTTATTCAATATACATTTTAAATGTTTAAAATATTTTAAATTATTTAAAATAAAACACTCTTGTCATCCCCTCACTCCTCCATTCTTTTTTCAAGAAAGATGACACCCCACATTTTCTTCAGTTAATCAGTCCTAGCAAAACATGGGGGAAATATTAAGGCAGAAAATTACACAGAACTCTGTATCTGACTATTCTACTGTGTGACGTAATTCAAAACACATTTGGAGATGGATCTTCCATGCTTATATCCTTTGCAGCTCCAATACTTCCCATTTATCAAGAATACAGTTCAAAACTGTCAAAAATTCTTGATTAACCTGAAATGCAACATCAGCGGCAACATTCATTTTCTATTAATGGGCCTACAAAAGGAGCACTGGTGGATGGAACACATTAAATTATAAAACAAATTATTACCTTTTTAAGAAGTTTTTCATTTCTCAGTCTTTCACAAACTATTGCAACTTCTGGGCTCCCCGGTTCAAGAACAGAATTTGCTGTCATCTTTCCTAGATTCCGCAGCACTGCTGTTATGGGCATTTCCACTAGCAAGGCTTTCCATACCTTGTAAAATGTGAGATTAAAGAAGAAATAGGAAAAATGTCAAGTCATGATGTTAAATATGGCTATCCATTATACATAATAGTTTAAAAAGCAACCATAAGGAAAGATCCATCATCAAGTTAACTACATGCAACAAAGTTTTAATAGGGATAGAAAACTTCAGCAGAGTGCACAAAATGGGTAAGGTATGTGTAACACCAATGAGAATAATTAATGCTTAGATACTTTACTCACCTCTTTAGATTTTAAATGACTTGTCAGAAGGTGTTCTCTAACTAGATTATATTCTTCTATCAAATGAATCACTTCCAATTCATCCTTTGTATGCTTCACCCTTTCCACTGCTTCCAAATATTTCAACAGCTTTTCCATCTCAGGAGAAAGTTTGTTATCTTTATATGCCTCTTGGACTTCCTTCCACCCCTTCATAACATACTTAGTGACTATGGCAAGGCCTGTTGAAAGACAAATAATTCTATATATTAATAATTTTTATCAGCTTCTTAATATGATGTTTTCAGAGGCATATTCCTCAAAAGTGATGACTTTACAGCCCTGCATAAATACATTTTGCTGCACAATGTATTTTCTCTTAATATAATAAATTGTAGTATCTCACAGAAAAGTCTCTCTCTCACACACACACAAGTTTTACTGTGCAGCTAAATAAATGAGCAAAGCCTTTTCACAAATTATATTTGCCTTAGAATCTCCTGGATTACCAGGAAAAATGGGGATCCTTTCTTATCTTGATGATTCTCCCTGGCTTTCATTTTTTGCAGCAGACAAAAGGCCAGCAGACAATAAGCAAGATCTTACACTACACATTTTTATTGAAAACAAAATACATGAAAAGCCTTGGAATTCTCATCTGGCAATTACAGATGTATTAACCATAGAAAACAGATTGTAACAATCCAATTTGCATATTCATGAGCATTACCTGACACTTTTATGCTGTCACTTTTTCAATGTGCCAGGGGAAAAAAGACCAGCTATCTGGATCTCATTACAAAAGTATCAAAAATGCAGCACAGTACATTGTCATGCCGAAGACTGAATATTCTCATACCTGAAGTAAATGCTTACTATACATCTGAAGAAGTGGACTACAGTCCACGAAAGCTTATGCCAAATAAAACTCAGTCTTTAAGGTGCCACAAAACTCCTTGTTGTTTCTGCTGAAGTAAGTGATGCATCATGAATGTCCACAAGAAAGAGAGAGGAAAGAGATAAGACAAAAGGAAAAGGAAAAGAAGTGCAGAAAGTGCAATAAACCCATTGTCTCCAGGATTCTAAAACAGATTTCTGCTATTACACAATGATACATTGAGGCTGTAATCTCATATGTGCTTAACTATCCATAAAGCTTATTCAACTCAATCAGATTTATTTCTTGGTTGGTATACAGCAGAGATAGGAAACTTCTGGCCTGTTAAGTCAGATGAAGCCTGTAACAGTTCCCCACCTGACCTACAATCTTATCCCACTGTTCTCTCTTCAGAGCAGCTACAAGGGACTCTAAAAACGTGCAATGAATTGAGATGGCCTCTACAAGCATGAAAACCGTTGCAATGGAGGTAGCACAGAATTAAATTGAGTTTTGTCTTATAATTCATAACCAGACAGTTGGTGGCACTGGCTGTTAAGATTTCTTCCTAGTCATTCTCTCAGACCTGTCTTTGCAGACCTCAGCAGACAAGTCCTTCCTGGACAAAGGCACACAGGGATTATTCTGGGGAAAGGTATATGTGGCCATAAAGAAGAACCAGAGAAAGAAGAAGAAACATAGGTGAGAAAGAATTCTTATGAAATCAGTGGACCATAATGAACTCAGAGGGGTAGCAAAGGCCTCAGCTCTTGACCAATGAGTTCGTGTGCTGTGCCTGGGGTGAAGAGACGACCATGGTTTGATTTAAGTTAGTGTAGGCAGCTACTGTTGCTTTAGTTTTTGTTTCAAGTAATGCCTGGAACAGTCTCCTCCAACCACCCTTTAGTAAAGATAGGAGAAAATCTTTATACATTTTGCTGGGGAGTTTGGGGTGTAGATAGAAAGAAAGTTGTCTTGAAGAACAACTTATATTTGGTGAGAGATGAGGGAAATTACTTTTGGAATACTGATGGGGTGTTTTAGTTTTCATTTATAAAAAGTGAAATGCATGGACTGAGAGGTTCAAAAAGGCATCTCTATTCCTCCTGTAGGCCTTTGTGTTCAATGTTGGATGGAGAGAGAAAAAGAGAAGTAGTAAGCAGGAAAAGCTACTTTCATTCAGGGGAAATTAGTCAGCCAGGGACCTAGAAAAATCTCTAATATCACTCCTGCAAGAGATCATCATCCAGGTCAAATTTGCATAAATCACCCTTAAACATCATATTTGAATGTGTGGTTTCATTCTTCATCTAACAGTACCAGGCTTTCAAAGGAACCATACTTCCAGGCACTGTATCTATGTATTCTAACCCTCTGATTTGGACACTGGGAAGGAATATCCATTTCAGGCTATTTTGGGCCTTCTTTAGAGGGCAGCAACAGTTGCCGTTTCCACTTGCTGCTTTGCTGCTCCTATCATGGAGGAAGACCTAAGCCCCAAGAGAGTGTGTTTACTGCCATGTCAGCTGCTCCCCACAACAGCAATCTAAAATAACCATGGTGAACTCCTCCTCTCCAGAAAACACTTTGCAAATCCATTGGGGGTCACAACCCACAAGTTGGAAAAAACAAGGCCTGTTATTTATTTACGTAAAATATTTTAACCCAGGATTTCTCCTTAAAAGGACCCAGAACGTTTACAACAAGGTAGTCTACAGGCATCTCTTTCTAGTTTGTGTTTGTACAGTAAGACTCCTGGTAATCCACGGTTTCACTTATCCTTAGACTGAAAATATTAACAGTAAAAGAAAAAAAAACCTATACAGTAAATATGTATTTTCATGATGTACAGTTAGGTTTGAAAATAATTGGACACTGACACAATTTTCATCATTCTGTCTCTGTACATCTCCACAATGGATTTGCAATGAAACAACCAAGATGCAATTGAAGTGCACTTTCATATTTAATTCAACGAGTTGAATAAAAATATTGTATGAAAAATTTAGGAATTGCAACCATTTTCATACACAGTCACCTTATTTCAGGGGCTTAAATGCAACTGGACAAATTAACACAATCATAAATTAAAATGTTCACTTCCAATACTTTGTCAAAAATCTAATGCATGGACTTCACCAAACACTGTTTTTGTTTTCCTTTGTGATGCTTTGCCAGGCCTTTACTGTAGCTGATTTCAGTTGTTTGTTCATAGGTCTTTCTTCCTTGTTTTGTCTTCAACAAGTGACATACATGCTCAATCAGACTGAAATCAGGTGATTGACTCAGCCATTACAGAATAGTCCACTTCTTTGCCTTAAAAAATTCCTCGGTTGCTTTCGCAGTATGTTTTGTGGGTCACTGTCCATCTGTAAAGTGAAGCGCCATCCAATCAACTTCACTGAATTTGGCTGAATCTGAGTAGACAATATATCCCTATACACTTCAGAATTAATCCAGCTGCTTCTTTTCTGTCACATCACTAAATAAACACTACTGCCCTACTGACCCAGTGCCATTGGAAGCCATGCATGCCATCACGCTGCCTCCACCATGTTTTATGGATTTTATGGTATGCTTTGGATCATGAGCTATTCTAAGCCTCCTCCATACTTCTTTCTTTCCATCATTCTGGTACAGATTGGTTTTAGTTTCATCTGTCCAAAAATGTTCGAGAAATGGGCTGACTTTTAAATATTTTTTTGAAAAAGTCTAATCTGGCTTTTCTATTCCTGAGGTTTATGAATGGTTTGTATCTTGTGCTGAACCCTCTGTATTTGCTCTGATAAAGTGTTCTCTTTACAGTAGGACTTGGTGTGATCTGGTGTAATTCCCTTTTCTCCTTTATCTGGATCTTGATGGATGGATGACTCAGGGACATCAGACGTTTCTAACAAAAATCCTTTATTCTTTGACAACCTGTTCAATTAAACATTAACAACAGACTCTGTCTCTTGCTTCAGGGATGCTGTGCCTTTTCCTTTTTCATTGAACCATAATAAATCCTCCTCTGATTGCAGGGATAGAAGTCAAGTCTCTATAACGCCATCTCTGTGGAACACCCGATCTATCAGGTACATCTCCCCTTATTGAGGAGGGTGGAAAACCCAGCCCACCTGTGCTTCCCATACTTTCTTGCCTGGGTTTTGTCATTCTCAGTTGGAATGGGCTCATCCCACGGAGTTTCCTAGGATGGTCTGGACATGGCTTGTTCTCCCTTCTATGTGCCTCCCGCTGTTGCCTCTCCCTGAACTTTCTCCTGTGTTCTTTCTTCTGTCTCGCCCCAGTAAGGTGGCTTTCTATAGGTTTTTCTTCTCCATTCCTTCTCAGAATACTCCCTTGGACCTTTAAACTCCATACACTCCCCTGTCCAGGGGTCCTCTTGTACTATCTCTACCCAGTCCCTTTTTCTCTCCTCCTCCTCTTCCTCTACCCTGCTCTTCCAAATACAGTCCCTTTAGGTTCTCCTCCAGGGTGGGCATCTGTCCCTCAGTGTCTTCAGCTGAGGAGGCAGACGGTATTCTCTGAGAAGTGCCCCTTGGGGTACTCCCAGCTTCACACTTGAATAATTATATGCCTACCTTCTGGAGAAAATTCTTCACTTGGCTGGATGCTGTAAAGGGGTTTTTCTTTACCATGGAAAGGATCCTACAGTCATGTACCACTGTTGTCTTGCATGCATCTTCTCCATTCCTTCTCAGAATACTCCCTTGGACCTTTAAACTCCATACACTCCCCTGTCCAGGGGTCCTCTTGTACTATCTCTACCCAGTCCCTTTTTCTCTCCTCCTCCTCTTCCTCTACCCTGCTCTTCCAAATACAGTCCCTTTAGGTTCTCCTCCAGGGTGGGCATCTGTCCCTCAGTGTCTTCAGCTGAGGAGGCAGACGGTATTCTCTGAGAAGTGCCCCTTGGGGTACTCCCAGCTTCACACTTGAATAATTATATGCCTACCTTCTGGAGAAAATTCTTCACTTGGCTGGATGCTGTAAAGGGGTTTTTCTTTACCATGGAAAGGATCCTACAATCATGTACCACTGTTGTCTTGCATGCACATCAAGGCCTTTTTTGTGTTGCAGAGCTCACCAGTGCATTCTTTTTATCTCAGAATGTACCAAACTGTTGATCTGGCCACTCCTAATGTTTCTACTATCCCTCTGATGGATTTCTTTTTTTCTTTCTTTTTTGCAGTCTGATGGCCTGTTTCACTTGCATTGAAAGCGCCTTTGAACATATGTTGTTGGTTCAAAACAACAGCATCCAAATGTGAATGCCACCCCTAGAATCAACTCTAGACCTTTTATCCACTTAATTAAGAAATTACAAAGATATGGCCCACACCTGTCCATGAAACACCTTTTCAGTCAATTATCCAATTACTTTTGGTCCCCTGAAAAAGAGGGGGGAAATATGAAAGAGCTGTAATTCCTAAACCCTTCCTCCAATCTAGATGTGAAGGTCCTCAAATTAAAGCTGAGAGACTGCACTTTAAGCCCATATTCATTATTTAACTGTAACTTAAATTATTTTAGTAAACAGCCAAAATAACAAAATCTTTGTCAGTGTCCAATTATTTCTGGACCAACTGTATTTACCACTAGAGGAAGCCAGAGACCATGCTATGTATTCTTGTTGTTGAAGAATACCTAACATAGTCTCCTTCTAGTGGCCGTTTCAGATCATGCACAGTGGAAATACTTCTTTTCTGATTTTTCTTCTTTTATCATGCTATGTATGGCATTCTCTATTATCTGTGGTTTTCAGCATCTTGGGGGGGGGGGCTTAGAACCAATCCCCTTCAGATATGAGGGCCCTACAGGTAGCTGCATGGTATGGACACAAGCTTCCAGTACATTTTATCCACAGGCCTCCTGTTTCTCACTCTATACTTGCAACTTAAGGAACAGGCATCAAAACAAAAACAGATCAAATAATCAAGTTTGATAGTGTGGAAGTATGCTAAGATAACAAAGGGACTATTTATTCTTCAGCTCAAAAAGTAAACACTAGCAGTAGTACTGCAGAATCATCACCAGGAAATTAAAAACAGAGACAAAACCAGATTTAATTGGGTTGTCTGTTATTGACTCTGGCACCTGACCAGTTCTGATGTGCATCAACTGTCACTGTTATAAATGCCGCACATAGAAAAGCCACATGTAAAATAAAATTAATACTTTCTCTATGACCCTTAGTCATTTCCAACCCTACAATTCCATAATTGTATAATTCTTATAAAGCAAACACTGGTTACTAATTCAATTCAAAGTTCATAAAAACGTATTCCTGTTTTTCCGCCAATATGATATGTGCATGTTTCAAAAACAAACAAATAAGAGCCTGCTTCTTTCAATAACAAAATAATTTCAGCTTAATTACTGTCCATGTACTGCTTGTGGAAAAGCATCAAAATCATGATCAAAGAACAAATGAAATAAGAGCTAGACATTTAAAATATTGCACACTGATTTATAAACTTCAAAACTGCAAGTCAAATCATAGAGCCACATTTCTTTCTAGACACCAGATCTGAAAAAATATCTATAGTATGAGATTTTAAAAAACTATGTTTACATATATACTTAAAGGCCAGTGTAGCTTCCGAAAAGTATGACCATTGCAGCAGTGTCTGAATGACCCAGTCAACAATAACCACTCAGCTTTACGTAGGCTTCCTCTCTTCTATTCAAACTTTCACACAGAAAGAGTTAACTGCAGTCAACTATATCACTACATTCCTAGTTATCATTACCTTCATTTGCAGGCTTCAAGTGAGACAATCTGAGCAGATCCTTATGACACCAACCATTTCTTTTCTTGTATTTCGTCACTGCTAAGGCAATAGCCATGTCATTCTTTTCATTGTACCAATCTGCAACAGCTTTTCTCAGAGCACGACCCCACATGCCACATTTCATTCCTTCCTTCAGATCCTTTTTAAATTGGATGAAAGTGAAGAGATGGGTTGGTATGCGACAGACATCAGGGACAGCTTTATAAGCTGCTTGCTTTGTTTTTGCATCAGAACACTGTGAGCAAATTGCAAGTGCAAACAAGACAGGCTCCTGTTTTGCTGCCCTGCCTTCTTGGCTAAACGTTTTTATTTCCTGTACCACTTCACAACCTCTGCCATCTTCAATAAGCCTCAGCAGAGCATCAACATTTTCAAAACCCAGTTTTTGCTCCTTGATGTAGTAAGTACCTCCTTCAGAACCAAAACACAAGAAACGACGCAACCGATTCATGTCAGTAACCTGCCATACATCTTCTGAGGTCTGCATCTGCTTTTCACTGCAAGATTGCATCTGACTGGCTCCTTCTTCCATTTCTTGACAATGTTAAGAGGCCTCCTGAAGAAAAAGCAAACAACACAACCATTTCAAAATATGTTTTTTCCCCTTCCCTATTCAAGTCAAAAACTGTCTTGAAAATTCTCATTTCAATGACTATGCCAAAATTCTGAGATATTCAGCAGCCATCCAGAGATTAAATCTGAAGTTACCAATATTCTAAGGTGTAAAAATGAAAATACATGCAAAAAAATTTACAATAACAAGCCTATAACAAAAATTTAAGCCAATCAATTCTGAAATACTAAAATATTTTGAACAGCAAAGTTGTCCAAACATTACTAAGCTGAACAGCTGCTCTTTGGGTCATTGAAAAGAGATTCCTGACAATCCACAACTATTATTTACTAAGACAACATAAATGTGTGCAGTATTCGGTTTATTACTATGATTTCATTTGTATCTCATCTTCCTTCCAATTTGGTCAGGATGATATACATAAATTTACACAATTTTATATGCATAACAAAGTGGTGGGGCAGATTATGCAGGTACAACAAGTTGTCCAATCATACCCAGTAAGTTTTGTGCTAAGTTCCACCCTATCTCTTTCCATCATCTTGGGCTGAGCTGAAGCATTTAACAATGACAGTCTGCTGTCAAAGGCAGCCTGAGTGCTGCCTTTGACAAAATGCAAAACAACAGGGAGTGCCTATTAGAATATGCACAGTACCTATATACTTTCCTCAACCAATGAGATCAAATTACAGCCAACTCCTAGTATTAAGATGCAGAGAGCTCTTAAACAGCCACTCACTGGCAGAGAATCAGAATCCAACCCAAGCAAGAAAACTCCCATAAACTGAACAGTTGTATTTTTGAAATAAAACACTCAGGAGATTAGTGATAGTGTGTAATGCATACCGGACAGAAAATGTCTGTGAGCACCAATTACTGCACACCTTCATGAGGCATGATGAAAAATGTAAAGCAAGGATTGTACAGATTGCTCATAATGTACATAGTCTCCAGATCTTAAGAAACATGCACAAACGGATGGCTACATCCGCTAGATAAATTATAAGATCCCCAGCCACGTTCTTGCTGTGGATATGAATTACACGCTCCATGAAACTTAATAAGCACGTTGGCCACTGTGAATGCAGTTTTAATTCGGCCCAGTTTAACCTCAGCAGAAATATCACAAACAACACTGGGGTTGCACAGACCTGGGAAGCATCTCCCCTCCCCTCCCCTTCCCGGAGTTAACACAGCTGTTACAGGCGTAGAAACCCGAGCGGGGAGCCTGTGGTCCTTCATAGGTTAGGCTGCACTCCCCATCATAGCTAAGCATCTGGAACGTCGGCTGGGGCTGATGGGAACTGGAGTCGAAAGTAAGGGGTGGGGGATGCACAACCACGCGTTGCCTATTTCTGTCCCGTAACGTCAACCATAACACCGGGTTTTTAATCTCCGCCCGGGGAGAATGGGATTCGCTCTCGGACGCGTTAACAGCTGGAGAACGAGGGACGCGGCTTCGCCACTGTTCGCAGGCCCAAACTCAGTCCCTCGTCATGAGCGGGGAGTCCAGAGAGTTTCTTTTCCCCTCCCGACAAGCCCGGGCCAGGCAGTCTCGGTCCTTACGGTTAGGAGCGGCGACAGAAGCGGGTTTCGACAAGCCTTCTTCACGGGGCGACGGCAACTTGCAGCTTTCGGAGTACAGCAAAAGGGCACCGGGCTAGAGGTAGGTGAAGCGCCCGGAGGCTTTCGTTTCTCCTCACGACTCCCTCCTCCTCACCCCGCCAAGACTCCCTGACAACTTCCCTCACAGAGACGGGGAAGGACCCGGATGGAGCAGCTCGGCATTGTGGGACCCCCCCCTCGCCGCGAACGGGACTCCCAAAGCCCCGGATGTGTGTCGCGCACGCGCGTGGCCCTCCACACACCTCCCCCCCATCGCCTCGCTCGCTCTTTCGTTCGGCCCTCAATCCCAGACGTCAAAGGCGCCCCGCGAAGAGTCGGCTAAGTATGAGACACCCGCCGTCTCCCCCTCCGCTTGCCCCCCCCCGTTTCCACGTGACAATAGCCCGGGAAGGAACGGTCTCAACTGACTAAGAGAGGCAGCCCCCTTCCACTTTCTCCTGTGATGGAAAATCCACGAAGAGATGGGTGTGACTGGCGATTCGCAGGTAGCTTTAGAAGGCGAAAGGAAAATTACGCGGGAGGTGTTCTCCGTATTACACCAGACTGGGCTCCGATTGTCCATTGGTAAATAAAAGAGACTTATGTGCCCCTGTATCTCTAAATAAAAAGTCTTAGCTATTTGACATGGCAAGTTACAGGGAATTTCCCGTGTGTATTTACTCATACTTGCCTCTCGTTGAATTCAGCTGGACTTACTCCCCAGGTAACTGTGTATAGGCTCACAGCTGCGACTTAACTGTCTTACTGGGAGTAAGACACACTTAATACCAAGTAAACACGCACAGGACGTTGCGCTGCCGACTGGCAACCGGGTCGTCTTGCGCGGGGAATCGTTCAAGGATGCGTGATCTGGCTGCAACAAAAACCACCGCTTCCAAGTCATTTGAGAGCTTCAGCTCAAAGGGTCTTGCGCAGGCGCGCTAAAACAGAAACACCGGCTCCTGAAAACACGCGGAACAGCCGGGGCCACTCAGGGAGGGCGCAATGGGGAAGTCAGGAGTCGGACGGGCCAATGAGCTTCCGCTGAACGTGCGTGCGCAGGCGCTCCTGGTTCCCTGAGGGGGAAAGCCAAATACACGATTCGCACGATAGAGATTTCAAGTGTAGAGCGGCTCACTGTTTTGCTGTGTCTTTTAAACCGGGATTTAAGCCGTTCCTCCCGCTCCATGGGAGCGAGCACGTCGTCTCCTCTCTGTGGTTCGGTGGCTCTCGCTGTCTCTTCACCATAGAGAGGGCGAGAGGGGCTGAAAGCGGCCGGCCGCGGGGCCTGTCGGGAAAGGAGCGTCGCGCCTTTGCGTCGCGTGCGTCGGCCGGGTGGGCAAA